AGAAAGCAAGAAATCACACCCCAGGGGGATGGTCATGCCGCAATCCCTTCTCCTCCATTCTCCTCTCGGGATCTTGGGCATGCATGCACATGCGCCCGGCGTGAGTTTAAGCCACCGGGTCCGGGACTCAAACCGTGGTAGACTACATGGGAGTCTAGTGACATAGCCACTATGCCAACTGCTGGTTCCTGACAATACTCTCTTGATGGGACATTTCTGAACTTCCACTCTGAGAAAGGAAAGTCCTTCTAACCCAGTCCTCTGGACCGATGCATGCAAGGAGAAATCTCACTGCTACGTCTCTTTCCTGCCTGGGTTTTTCCCATTCATGCTGGCTGGCAGCTTGCACCACCCTGGCTGTGAGCCCAGGCAGTATTGCGAGCCCGAAAAGGCTGGCAGCCCCGCACGGGAAGTCCTGCCACCCTGTGCTGTGCCTCGTCCTGACCCTGGCGTTTGCACGACATTTCCTGGCTCCGCTCTCTGCTGCCCCTAGGAACGTGGCATTGCCCCGATGGGTCACTGTCCCAGCCCAGTCTGCCCCTGGAGTGATGGCTCTGGTGTGCTCCAGACTCCTGCTCCCCCATTGCTTTCTTGGTATAGTTGAATTTGCTTTGTGTCCAAGACTTTGAGGCCTTGAACGTCTACCTCAGTGGAGACCGGGGCATGCACACATGAGAAAATCACTGTCCAGTGAAAAGCTGGACTGGCTATTCTCAAATCTCCTCACGTGCTAACATTGCTGTTTGTTTTTTAATTTGCTGAAAGGGTGCAGGTGCTTGCTAGACAGAAGAGAAAGTGAGAAATCACACCCCAAGGGGAACTGGTCACACCGTAATCCCTCTTCTGAAATCTCGCCCCTCTTCTCAGGATTTTGGGCAGGCACGCACACAGAGCATGTTTCAAGCTATTGGGTCTAGGACTTGAACCACAAGGTCAGTCATATGAGAACCAGCTACTTTAATCACCAGGGCACAGACTGGCCTGTGTTCTAACATTTCTAAAAAGGCATGTCCAAAGGTTAACAACCTGAAAAGTTAGTGGAGTTCTGCTGTGTGGGTCCGGACCTAGAAGAAGCAAGCCCGGGACACGTCCATAGCCCGTAGAATGAGCAGGGGTGCCAAATATGATGTCCGATTCTTCCCCTCCCAGGCGAGGACCCCCAGTAGAAAGCAAGGACGGCAAGGGGCTGGGATTCTGAGGGGTCAGTGTGCACGTCTACATGCTTAGGAAGCGGTGTTGTTGTCTATGAAGGATTTCTGGAGTCGCGCTCCCTCTTCCTTTGTTCTCACCCAGCCCCTTCCTCAGGCCGGAAGTCGATGAATGGACCCCAGCTCACATTCAGCCCTGGGGCACCATGGTTCTATCCTAACCAGCCATGACACGCCAATTATTTGCTTTTCTGGAGAAACCTCAGGCTGAAAATCCATTTAATTACCATGGGAGATAATCTTTTAAACATAGATTTACATTCTTTAAAGACTTTTCCCTGTAGGAGTAGGAAAGTTTATCTGAACATGGGATGTTTATGTTCATTTCCACAAGAGGAGCTGGTAGTTAGCAAGAAGCTGGAACCCTGGAGGCATCCCACCCCCCCAAGTCTGTTCTTCACTAATAGTTTGTCAACTATATTGTAATAATTATAGTATTGTCATACTTTTCCCCAGCTTAAACCCTGCACTCTACTCTGAGGGTCCAGGCCTGTAATTGTTTTGACATTTTAAAAGTATCCCTATCGGACCAGATACTGTACTTTAGGTAGGGGTATCCTCCCAGAATTTTCTTTTTCTTTCCTTTTTTGGGTGGGTAGGGTTTTGCTATAGGGCACATATACTTATCAGAAAGACAGAGAGAGATAGACAGAAAGTGAGAAATCACCCCCAGGGAGGATGGCCACACCACAATCCCTTCTCCTCCATTCTCCTCTCGGGATCTTGGGCACACACGCACACACGCCCGGAGTGAGTTTAAGCCACTGGGTCTGGGACTCAAACCGTGGTCGATTACATGGGAGTCCAGCGACAGAGCCATTACACCAACTGCTGGTCCCTCCTCTAGGGTTTTCAAGCAGGAAGATCCTCCTCACCAGCCCTCCAGTCTCAAAGACCTGTGGTCAGATACCAGTTTTCCAGCCTGGGGCAACCCGGTGGACGCATCACATTCTTCCCTACTAGAATGCCAGTTTGTCTGGGCACTTTGTTCAGTGATCCCTACACCCCAGAGCAGTTCGCTGGTCACAATAGGTGCTCGGTCAGCAGATGGGAGCTGGTTGAGAGCCCACAGGCCTGCATATGGTGCGGATGTGTGCTGTGTCAAAGCATGAGCGATGTGCAAAACAAAGCAGAGTTTCGCAGGCTCGAGTCTCCGGCACCGGCTGCTCTAGTTCTTTCCTCATGCCACTTTAAAAGCAGGTGGTCTTGCGGTGCTTGCTGGCCCTGATCCTGTAGGTTCAGATCTCTGGGCCTGGAAGAACATACCCCTGGAGATTAAGAAACCAGAATAAAAGGAATAAGTGTATTGAACACAGAGTTAGAAGATGAGGAACTAAGGCCTCTCCTACCCATGTAGCATGTGGGCCTGCAGGTCTGTGTTGAGCTGTGGCCGTGGGTCTCTGTTCCACAGGGTAGGATGTGTTACAAGTTGTCAAGAATAAGGCCTACTTTGAGAGATACCAAGTGAAATTTAGAAGACAAGAGCGTAAAACTGATGACTATGCTCAGAAACGTTTGGTGATCCAGGATAAAAATAAGTATAGCACACCCAAATACAGGCTGATGGTTCATGTACCTAACAGGGGTGTTATCTGCCGGGTTGCCTGTTCCTGGGTAGAAGGGGATACGATAGTCTGCGTAGCTTATGCACACGAACTACCAAACACGGAGTGAGGACTGCCCTGACAATGCCACTGCAGCACATGGTACTGGCCCACTGCTGGCCCTCAGGCTTCTCTCTAGAGTGGCATGGACAAGACCTACGAAGGCCAAGTGGAAGTGACCGGAGATGAGTACAGTGTAGAAGGCATTGATAGTCAACCTGGTGCCTTCACCTGCTGTCTGGACGCAGGCTTTGCCAGAACCGCCACTAGCTATAAAGCTTTGGGGCCCTGAAGGGAGCGGTGGATGGAGGCTTATCTATCCCTCATGGTACCACAGGATTCCCTGGTTACGATTCTGAAAGCAGAGAATTTAACGCAGAAGTCCATGGGAACACATCATGGGCCAGAACGTTGTGGATTGTTTGTGTTACCTGCGGGAAGAAGATGAAGACGCTTACAAGAAACAGTTCTCTCCCTACCTAAAGAACGATGTAACTCCAGACATGACGGAAGAGATGCATAAAAAAGCTACACTGCTATAGGAGAGAACCCAGTCTATGGAAAGATCCCTGCCCAGAAGAAGACAAGCTTCCTCAGAGCTCAGGAGTGGGCTGCTGAGAGCCGAACCTAACAATTTTCTAAGATATTTCATATAAAGACAATAAAATGAACACTAAAGTGGCAAAAAAGAAGAGCAGGAAGAGAAGGAAGAGGAGGGAGAGAAGGAGGAGGAATAAGATGAAATAGGCAAGCTTGTGGCATGGTGGTGAAGGTGGCTGGATCCCACATGGCCAACAGCATAGTTCAAGTCCCAGACCTGGCAGCTTGAAAATCATGCAGGGTGTGTGTGTGTGCATGTCCAAAATCCTAAAAGGAAAATGGAGGAGAAAGGATTGTGGTGTGGCCATTCCTTCCAGGTGTGCTTTCTCATCTCCCCACTCCCCTTCTGTCTCTCTCTGGCGGGCGAGCACACATGGCTTCTAGAAAATCTGGAAAACAAAACAAAAAAAAAAAAGAAAAGAAAAGGAAAGGAAAGAAAAAGAAATTTCTATAAGGAAATTTTCTCACACATGCACATGCTCCCAGGGTGTTTTTCAAGCCACTGAGTCCAGGACCACAACCACACAGTCAGCCAGCTGCCCTAACCTCCACACTACCGGCTGGCCCAGTAAATGCTGCTGCTGCTGCTGCTGCTTCCTTTTAAGAATTATTTACTTAATATCATTTATTATTTTAATTTGACCAGAGAGAGAGAGAGAAAGTTTCTACAAGGTAAGGAAAGCCCTTTGTAGAGAACTAACTAGACCTTGGACTCGACTCTCTCCTTCCAGGTCCCGATGGGGAGGACAACTGGTCCAAGAAGTACCCATCATGTGGGGGCCTGATGCAGTCCCCCATAGACCTGTATGGTGACACCCTCCAGTACGACGCCAGCCTCGCGCCCCTGAGGTTCCAAGGCTACAACGTGTCTGCCAACGAGCAGTTCACCCTGACCAACGACGGCCATTCAGGTGAGGAGAGCCCCCGACACCTGAAGGGCCGCTTGGCCTGCCCTTTCCCATCTGCCAGGAGGGAGCTGTGCTGAGGCACCCGGGACATGGGGGCGAGGGGAGCTTCGAGGGCCCGCTCTCTCCTGGGGTGCTGCAGGCCCTGGGTTCAGGAGATTTTCCCAGGGCATCATGTCTCATGTCTCAGAGAGTCATATCTCTCCGGGTGGGAGAGAAGACAGGCACCTAGTAAGGGCTTTTTCAATGCTGCTTAAAAAAAAAAAATCTTATGAATAATTTCTGGAATTTTTTCCTTTTAGTTTTGCTGTAAGGCATGTGTGTTCACCAGAAAGAGAGAGAGAGAGAGAAAGAGAAAGTGAGAAATCACCTCCCTAGGGAGATAGCCATGCTGCAATCCATTCTCCTCTAGCCTCCTTCAGGATTTTGGGCACACATGCACATGCTCCCGGGGTGTTTTTCAAGCTGCAGAGTCCAGGACCACAACCACACAGTCAGCCAGCTGCCCTAACCTCCACACGACCTGCTGGCCCAGTAAATGCTGCTGCTTCTTTTTATTTTTTTTTTAAGAATTATTTATTTACTTAATACCATTTCTTATTATCTTAATTTGACCAGAGAGAGAGAGGGAAAAAAAAAAAAAAAAAAAAAAAGGGAAAGAAAGAAAGCAAGCCTATAGGTCCAGGACTCAAAATGCCATCAGCCACATGGGAATCCAATGCCTTAACCACCATGCCACCTAGTGGCCCCAGGCAATGTTTTGTTTGTTTGTTTGTTTGTTTTTTTGTTTGTTTTTGGTAGAGGTTTTTGCTATAGAGCATATGCATACACCAGAGAGAAATAGAGAGACAGAAAGCAAGAAATCACCCCCTAGAGGGGTGGCCATCTGGCAATCTCTTCTCCTCCATTCTCTTCTTGGGATTTGGAGCATACACACACACATGCCCGGTGTGAATTTTAAGCTGCCAGGTCCGGGCTCAAACCTGGGCCGACTACGTGGGAGTCCAGTGACGATGTAACCATTATTCCACCTGCTGATCCCCAGTCAATGCTTCTTAATAGCAGTTATTTTTGTTGCCGTGACCTAATCCTGAAGTGTGGCAGGTACTTCACTGAAGGATCTGTTTTCAGAACCCCATGTTTTAGTACCTGGATATGCATCTACTGGCCTAGCATAAGGGCTCCTGGCCTCATTTTCCAGGGCACTGAGGAGGTGCCAGTGCCCCTGCAGCTGCTTTAGGGAGATGGGGACATTCTCAGGGAAGGAGCCCAGGCCTCTGAGCTGCAGGCTGCGTCTGTCCTCCTGTGCTGCCTGGGCCCAGCTCTGAGGCTGCCCCTCCTCTCCCCACAGTGAAGCTGACCCTGCCCCAGGAAATGCACATCCAGGGCCTCCCGTCCCGCTACAGTGCCATGCAGCTGCACCTGCACTGGGGGAGCCGCAGTGACCCCCACGGCTCCGAGCACACTGTGGGTGGGAAGCACTTCGCAGCCGAGGTGAGTGGGCTGGCCAGTCTGGCAGAGGCTGGCCACTGGTGGGTGGTTGGCACCAGGGCCCTCCCCCTGGCCATTGTGTTGGGAGATCAGAACTGGGGTAGGCTGCTTCATGCGCAGAGAACCTGCCTCTGGTCTTGTCACAGCACAGGAAGGGACAGCTCACTTGAGGCATCCTGGTCCTTTTCTTCTCCTGAACATGCCAAGTTGTTCTGGCTTCCAGGGTGGTGTCCTGCCTTGCTGTTGCCCTCCCATCTGTGCAAAGGCTTCTGTAGCCTGCCCAGCCGAGGCCCCCATTGCTGAGTCGTATGGGCCAACTGCTCCCCCACACTCCAAGGTCTTGCCTCCTGTCATGCTCATTACATATGTCGTATGTCTTCCCCACCTCATCTTTCCTTTCCCTGGGCACGGGCTATGCTTTGGAACATGGGCACATGTGTCCAGGGCCACTCTTCTACCGACCACGAGTCAAGGCGTGATGGCATGACAGTGTGCAGAGCATCATGGGAATCAGAGAGCAGCTTGGGACATCAGCACAGCACTGTGTTCCATCACCGGAGGTGCTAACCCCAAAGGCCATCAAGGAGAAGGGACAGAGTGCTTTTCCTGCACCGCCGTTGGGGAGCGGGGTTGGCTCTCATAGCACTAACCGGGGGAGTGGTGCTGATGGTTACAGGAACGCCTAGATAAATGCTTCTGACCGGCCAGGGGAGCCCACGGTAAATGATGGCGTTACCACTCTCTGTTCCTGAGCGCTGAACTGCTTAATGTCCCGGGCCAATTACAGGCCTAGTCATGAGTGCGGAGGAGATAGGGTTCTGGCCTGATAGGACGGCACTGCTGGAGGTGCAGAATTTCAAAACAGGCCCTTCCCTGAAGTTCAAAAACTGCAATTTCTTCCAGGCTAATTGCAATGTTGAGGCTTCTACTTCCCTCGTGTGGAATAGAAGAGGAGTTAGGGTATAGGCTCGGAAGGTTTATGCATTTTGAAATATTCCTAGTTCTTGTATTTTTTTTCTATTAGACCAGATCATCAGACCAAAGGCCTGGGGAAGAGGGGCCATAAATACCAACACTGGAGACAAGGTAGTGAGTGACCCTAAAGTGGCAGCTTCTCTGTGGAGGGTCATTGAAAGTGTAGCAGTGCTTCGGATGCAGTCTATATAAGATGACTTTTTTTTTTTTTTAAGAGAGATTTTTGCTGTAGGGCATGTGCACTCACCAGAGAGACAAAGACAGAAAGTGAGAAATCACCCCCCGGGGGGATGGCTACACTGCAACCCCTTCTCCTCCATTCTCCTTTCAGGGTTTTGGGCATACATGCACATGTGCCCAATGTGAGTTTTAAGCAGCTGGGTCTGGGGCTCGAACCATAGTTGGATATGTGGGAGTCCAGCAATGTAACCATTATACCATCTGCTAGTCTCAAGAAGACTCACTCTTAAGCCTCTCAGATAGGCATTCCCTTTTGCCTGGATTAGGCTTCACTCCTTGATTTAATATAAACACATAAGGAAAGCACGCAGGCTGACCACAAGCTCAGTAGTCCGCTATAAAGAGAAATAAGGACCTTGGGCTTTTAGCCATATGGAATTTAGCTCTAGCTCTGCTTCTGAGATGCCAGGCCAAGATGGCATGGGTGAGTGGCAGGCTAATATCCTTTGGGAGGAAAGATGGGGAGGCAGGGCCCCTAAGAACTCTTTTTTTGTTCCTTTTAAAGTTTCGCTATTAGGCTCATACACTTGCCAGAGAAAGATGGAGAGAGAAAGTGAAAAATCACTCCCACGGGGGTGGGGGGGCAGTCATGCTACAACCTCGTTTTCTCCAATCTCCTCTCAGGATTTTGGGGGGCACGCATGCACACACACGCACACACGAGCCCAGTGTAATTTTCAAGCCGCCAGATGTGGGATTCAAACTGAGTAGTTGGCCATGGAAGATCCAGTGTCTTGACCTCCATGCCACTTGCAGGCCTCTAAGAAATTTTTAACAGAGGACCACTTACAAGAAGAAATAATTGGATATAATTTTCAAAAATCAGAAGGGGCCACTAGAAAAGTTCAAAATGGGGACATTAGGTTATAGTCAATAAAATATGCTTGAATTCTATTTACAAACACATTAAGATGACAAAAGATGACACCACAGGCTGCCCTGCGGAAGTCTGCCATCTGGAAAGGACTGAGGGAAAAGACAAGAATGACTGTCGAGAGAGGAGGGCCTGAGAGGCCTGGTCTGGCTTGGTGGGGCGGGGAGGGGCTGTCCTCCCGGAGGGTTGGCGTCTCCGCAGAAGCGAAAGGCTCCCGTGGGTCACTCGTACCTGACGGGTGGCTTCTCTCCCGCTGCAGCTGCACATTGTCCACTATAACTCAGACCTGTACCCAAACGACAGCGCCGCCAGCACCCAGCCCGACGGCCTCGCCGTCCTCGCTGTTCTCATTGAGGTAAGAGATGTTGGAGACGTTTTTACAGGAAACTGGATGCAGGGACAGGGTCGGGCTCGGACATTCTGTTCCACGCATACTCATTCGTCATGAGCACATCCTTCGTTGACCATGTCTGGCCCCCAGGGCAGGGGCTATCACCCGCAGGTTCGTGTTCTCTCAGTGGGAAGGCAGCACTTTCCGTGGCTGGGCGCAGAAACGAGCATGTCCTTCGTAAAGCTGGAGAAGTGAGCCCTGGTCCCAACTTTGCTGTAGACCGCATGGACTCACCCAGTGGGGAACAGCTGTGGGGAAGGGGTCCCTGTGCGGCCCCATCAAATACCTGAGCCCCGGATACAGCTCCTGGTACCCAGGCCCCATCCTATGTGCGGACCCTGGAATGAGTTCTTTCTTTAATCTCAGAAATTGGGACTGCCTTCGGATTTGCTTGCATTTCTTTCTCTAACGAGACAGCATGTACCCATCTCCCAGCATGCTGCTGTGGCTGCCTGGACTTCTGTGAACTCGGTGCTCCGTTAGGTTCCAGGTTAGAGGAGCACGCTAGCTGTGACCGTCTCACATACAATACTCAGGAGCACTCGCCTACCCTGTACCCTGAGATATGCAAGTACGATGTCTTACGTTGAAAACAGAACATACCGAGGTGACAAGGGGCAGGACCTTTACGCTACTTTCCAATGGCCCAGTGATCCATTATCTGGGTCCCAGTGGAGTGGTCCTTCAGGCAGGACAGTGGCAGTGGTGGCTACCCACCTCCAGACCAGCCCTGCTCAGCCTCAAGAGCTCTGTCCTAGTTCAACCTGCCTGGTCTCTGTTGCAGATGGGCTCCTTCAATCCGTCATATGACAAGATCTTCCGTCACCTCCAACAGGTCAAGTACAAAGGTGAGGGGGCTTGGATGCATGGTCACTATGTCAAAGGAGGAGGTAGCCACCTTTGTGTGACTTCAAGAAACACAAAAGCAAGGGGCAGGTGCTGTCTGTATTCACCAGGTTAAGGGCGGTGGGGTGTTGGGTGGCACTGGGTACGTGGCACAGAAAGGATGAGCTCCTGATTTGGGGCTCAGTCGCTCAGGTTAGCTTGCCCTGTTATGGGGAGCAAGGCCAACACCATCACCCCAACGTGTCTCTCTAGATCAGAAGGTGCCTGTCCCAGGCTTCAACATCGAGGAGCTGCTTCCCGAGAGGCCTGCCGAGTACTACCGCTACAGAGGCTCCCTGACCACGCCTCCCTGCCACCCCACCGTGCTCTGGACGGTTTTCCGAAACCCCGTGCAAGTTTCCCAGGATCAGGTAACTGTCATGCGTGTCTGAGCTGGAGTCCACATGGCACTGCAGTCCCTGCCATGACCCGCAGCATAATCGGCTTGATTTCCTCAGAGTTTCATTGGCAGCCCTTCAAAATCTCCCCCAATGTCACAGGTGCCTGAAAGCACCACAGAAATTCCAGACTGGGCTGAAATAAAAACCAAACGAACAAACAGAACCCCTCTAGTTTCTATCAAACAGAGCTAGGAAAATGAACGCCCAAGGTCCACAGTGAAGTGAGCAGTAGAGCTGCGTCTGCGGATACTGACTTCCCAGGCGGAGGAGGGCTTGCTTCCTCCCTGGGGCAAGTAGATCAAATCAGTTAACAAACGGGGAACTGGGACTGCAGCAATGAGCCAGGGAGGGTCCAGTACACACCGGAGCGTAAGATCCTAAGCTGTCATTTTCGAGCTTCTCATTTTCTCAGTGCTATCAGGAAGGGTCAGTAGCTGGCAGGATTGTCCACTGGTTCATAAGAAGCTGAGACTCAAAGTCGGGCCACCTGAGCTCCAAGTCATGCTCATCCCTCTATGCCACAGCCTAAATTCAAGAAGTATGGCTCACCAGGAGGCAGGAGGTGGGAGCCAGGACCAGAGCTGCCCACTGGCTCGCGCCCCCATCCCAGCTTCTGAGTCTGTGGTGGCCTTTGCATTGCTCTGTCTTTACGAGGAGCTCAGATCTGAGTAACCTAGATAAATGGCAGCAGGTGGGCGGACAGGGAAGAGGACGCGATGAACCAAGAGGCACTGCCATGGAAACAGATCCTGTCATCTCCGTGGGTGTATGAAAGTGGCATGCAACCAGTAGGCAGATGACCTATGAAAACCCTGTCCCCCTCCTTTCATGCCTTCTGGTGTGGCCGTCAGCACCAGCCCCGGGCCCTCTGGGTCAGAGATGGGCTCCAATTCAGGTTCACCAGAGGAGCACAGGCCCCATGGGAGGCCAGGGAGCCCCCTCAGCCACCCCAGGCCTCCCTTGTGTGGGCAGACTCCAAGCATAACCAGGAACTTTGGGAGCAGGGGGATAGAGCAGGGCCGCCTGGGACCTAGCTGCGCCAGGAGGGGAGCAGCCCTCTGGCCTTCCTGCTGCATGCTGTACTTGGTATCTCCCACCAAGCACTGAGGGGCCAGCTCTCAGACCCTTCCCCAGGGGCCAGGCAGGGGAGCGTCACTCCACCTGCGGCGTGTGTTTCTGCCCTTCCCTCAGTTGCTGGATTTGGAGACCACTCTGTACTGCACACACATGGATGACCCTGCCCCCCGGGAAATGGTCAGAAACTTCCGGCAGGTCCAGAAGTTTAACAAGAGACAAGTGTACATCTCCTTCCAGCAAGGTGAGATGCGGTGTTCTGGCGAGGGTGGCACGGACGCCTGGGGAAGGGGGTGCTTATTCAGAGTGCCAGGGGAGCCAGGGTACACGGAGGAACTGAGGAGCTACCGTGTGGAGGGAGGGATCGGGTCTCCCTTCGCTCTCTGCACTCCCCGAGCTTTTGCAGAGATGCACAAGCTGAGGCCTCTAGGCACAGAGACCAGAGCTCTCATTAGTCTGGGGGGTCTCCCATACTGGAAAGAACGGATGCTCTCGGGGACTTCTCCGCCCCAGAGAACTAATGATCCCTTCTCCTCAGTCCCTTCTCATGAAATCAGACTTCTAACCGCTCACTCTGGGTCTTCTTGGCACCACGGGCTGCAGCCAGCCCAGCTTAGGACTAGCCAGGTTATTCCCACACCACCAGAATCCCGAAGGCTCCTTTGTTAGACACGAGACAGCGAGACAGTGCATACAGCCCACACCCAAGGCCACGAGCAGTCTGTGACCTAACAGCAGGGCCCATGAGGCCAGAACGCACCTCGCTCACTGCCTTCTCGCCCCGTCTCCTTGGTGTCTGCACAAGCAGAGGCTGTGCATTTCTAGCTGAACGAAGCTTAACAGCTTGGTTTACTCCTGAGGCTACCAGGGCCCCAGCCTCCCTTTGAATCTGTAGCTGGAACTCCGCAGGAGGACATTAACATCCTGTCGTGCTCAGTGTCCACATCAACATCACTGGGAGCTTAGAGAAAGGGCGCACACTCGGGGCCCACCCCCTTCCTCAAACCTCCGCGCTCACTTTCTCATCGTACACTGTTGAGCCGCTCCCAGCTTGGGAATCTCCGACGGTCAGCAGCATAGCAGAGGCACAGCGGAAACGGAAGTTGCAGCTCATCCCCGCACATCGCCGGAGGCCAGACTCGGCCAGGTGTTCATATTTAAAGCCCACCCCATGGACCGAGGTGTCAGAGGCCGCGCTCCTTATCTCATCTGGGGTGCTTTCGTTCCTTTCTCGTTATGCAAGGTCATAACTGTCCCCTGTGGAGATTGTGCATTAAGGCCCTTGTGAGCTGACCCCACAGTCAGAAGTGTATCCTTCTCTGTCTGCTACTTAATTAAAATTGCCCGAGAATTTCTTTTAGTTCGCGTCTCCAGCTATCACTAGTTAAGGTAATTCTCCTCATTTCCTTAGTTCTTCCATCTGACAGTGGAATTCGTGAATATAGCCCTTTCTAAAAACTGAAGCCCTGCCTGCCAATGATGGCCAACCTCTTCCCTAGGAGCGAACCCAAATGCACACCACTGTCCCTTTGCGATCTATCCTGGGTCTAGCATACTCTTCCCATTCTTTTACAGGGCAAATGTCGCATTTAAGGGTTAAATAGAACTATGCCGACTCTTAAATAAAAGAACATTAACAATTCTGTGAGGAGACCAGGGGCTTTGCCCGCATAGGCCAGGTAGGATTTTGTGTGTGATTCAAGGATTCTGTTATTGGCGCTGTTCTCTGAGCTGGTCTACGCACGGCTCAGGGAGTAAGGTCACAGATAATCTCCTGGTAGACCTAGGTTCAATGCCTTGATTTGTTCTCTCTTGGCAAATCATGTCCGTTCTTTCTGGCCCTGCCTTCCTGAGCTGTAAAATGCCAGGTGGGCCCTGATCTGAAGGCCTTTCAGTGCTACTCTGTGACGAGTCTGAGTGGATGCTAACCGCTGCCAATCCTGACTTTACGTTGCAGGGACAATGTTTGAGGGCAGATACAGAGGATCAGAAGAAAGCGTGCAGGAACTTGAGTCTGACGTCCAAAAGTAACCCCCACTTGTAACGATGCGCAGTGGCCTGGGGGATAATTAGCCATCTTCTTAGACCCCGCGGTCTAAGCAGCTGCTCGTAGAGAGGCAGCCGCGCAGTGCAGGCAGGTTGTAGCGGAGCGCTTCGGCAGATTCTCTCCACGTGGTGGCCGGGACCTTGAGGGACTTCTCTGAGCAGAAGCTGGTAGACCAACTCCTGGCTTAGGGCATCAAGGTCAAAGCTCAAATGCAGCTTTGCTGCTGCCCTGCTGCATGGCTTATCTGGGGCTGCTGCTCCCATGAGCCCCAGATGGGCCCAGCTTTCTCCCTGGAGCAAGAATCCGTGGTAGTCCAAGGCAAATCTGTGTATTTGGAGGCTGATTATAGAAACTTGGCCAGAACTCTCCCCTATCTTTCACTTCCCCCAAGACATAGGCAGCACGTGGGCTGCCTTCCAAGGAGCAGTGAGGAAACTACCACAGAGGAGTGAAGCCCCAAGCCTCACCTGCCCAGGAGAACCTGCACTCCCGAGGGCCTCCCACTGCTAGCTTCTTCGGGCTCCTAGCGAGGCTCAGTCTGCCTGTCAGCATAAACCTTCAGTAGCTTGGACCCGATTATTTGTAAACTGTTCCACTGAGGCATGTCTGTAATTAGGGCTGTTTTATTTAGGGTTTTTCGCTGGAAGTTAACAACTATAGAGCCAGAAAATTTAGTCAGGAGAAAGGAATGTTAAAAAAAAAAAATGATTTGCAGCTCTATAGCCAAGTGGGTAAGGGAGCCAGATCCCACATGGGTGACCATGATTCAAATCCCAGCCCCAGTGGTTAAAAAACACACCAGGCATGTGTGTGTGCATGCCTCCAAAGCCTGACAGGATGGAGAGGTGGAGAAGGGACCGCAGCATGACTGCTCCCCACTGGGCTGTGCTTTCCCCCTTTCCCTCTGTCTCTCTGTCCATCTCCCTCAGGTGCACAAATGCACCCTCCAACAATTAAAAAGGAAGGACGGAAATCCTCTAGTGGAAAAAGCGCATGCATTTAGAGAAGAGCTGAGGTTTAGCCAAACTGGAACTACTGGAACCGAATCATTGAACTTGGTCCTGCTATTTTCTGAGGGTGTGTCTGGAAAAGGCACGCAGGACCTGCTTGCTGTCCTAGAGGTGTACGGTCCAGCTGAGACTCTGCTGAGGGCAGAGTTCCTCGGCTTTGGCACTGGTGGGGACGGGAGTGTCCTGTGCATGCAGGATGTTCAGCTACATCCCTGACTCTGTCCACTAGATCAAGGGTCCCCAACCTCAGGCCAGGGCTTGTCTGTGGCCTGTTAGGAACTGGGCCGCAGAGCAGCGAGCAAAGCTCCATCTGTATTTACAGCTGCTCCCCATTGCTCGCATTACCACCTGAGCTCCGCCTCGTATCAGATCAGCGGCGGCATTAGAGTCTCACAGGAGTGCGAACCCTCTTGTGAACTGTGCATGTGAGAGATCTGTATGCACTCTTATCACTCCCTCACCAGGTCCCATGAAACCAGTCCTTGGTGTCAAAAAGGCTGGGGGCTGCCATGCTAGATGCCAGTAGCATCCCTCGTTGTGACGGCCACACTGTCCCAGACATCCTCTGGCATCTCCAGGACAGGAGGGGCCTGGCTGCCCCTGACTGAGAACCACTGCCCCAGGGGCGACACGATGACTTTCCTAGGCCCAGACTGACTTTCCCCCATGCACATCATGTGATTCTAGTTTCACATCACATGCCCTGGTCTTTATCCTCTCATGGCATGAAAATTTCAGCCTGGTGATGGCCACCCTAAGTCAGTAAGGCTAAAGTTACTGAGGCAGAACAAACCCCAGAGAACCTCGTTCCCATCTTCCTTTGGGACTTGGTATATATTCTTAATACTCTGGGCAAGGGCAAGAGAAGGGGCATAGGGGGAGCACTTCACCCTTAGGAGTGTCCAAGTCCCAGATGCAGGCCCAGATGCCTCTGAGGTAGCAGCTTTCCTCAGAGTCCGTTCATTCTCTCCCTCCCAGTTGTCCAAGAGTTCCTCTCTCGTATGTCATGAGGCTTATTGCCTTTGGTCAAAATGTCCGCTCTTTGTGGAAAAGTCAGTCAGGCCTGTCACATTTTAGCTTTTAACAGTGTCCCCAAGATGGGTTCCTGGAGAGGGGGAAGCACACCCTGGTTTCCTAGGAGGGAATGTGAGATGCTGGATGTGAGAAATGAGGAAGATGGAGGAGGCAGCTGGATAGTCCAGGGGTCCAGGGTCAGGGCTTTGGCCTGACTCTTGGGTCCTTTGAGCTGACCTGGTCCTAGCTCATGACACCAGTGCTGGGTCCAGGTGGTAATGGGGACAAAGCAAGAGCACGTCAGACCGAAATACTAATGCTAGCCAGCCCTATTCTCATGTGTTGGGGCAAGGAAGAATGGAGGGACAAAAGCCAGCCCACAAGTTTCTATAATCGTGTCTTAGTGACCTTGGTCTGAGCAACTGCACGTCACCTGCTGTGGGCCACGTTCAGCTGAAGTGCACTTAGCAGGAGAGCTGGGCGGTCCAGGGGGAGGGCCGGCACCAAGGGTAGCACTGTGGGGAGCACGATTAGAGTCTGCTGGGGACCTGGGTAGTTTTATAAAACCCCAGAGAGGGACGCACACAGAGAAATCTTACACAGCTAAGATGGCTAATTATCTAATTTTCTTGAAGCTGGAATATACACATTGTGGTGATTGACCTTGTGTTTCTTAAAGTCTCTATTTACAAATAAAGCTATGAGAGGGAAGAATATCATCATTTCTTCCAAAGTAGAAATACATAAACCGGAGGAGCTCCCACCTTCAAATTCCTAGGTCGGATAGGGGGCTGAACAGCCAGGAGCAGTTGTCAAAGTGCTAAGAAGTGACGCCAAGTCCCCCCGAATACACCACATTCTTTCTGAGCACTGCCCAAGTTAGGCACTGTGGGGAACAGAACTCCCCACCATGGGTGTCGTCTTGCTTTTAATAAGCCTCAGAGCCGACTGTTCAGGAAAAACAGGGAAGAGAGGCCAGACGGAAGGCTGCCCCTGGCCTTGGCGAGGTGGCCCCCACTGATCTGCCAAGTCGTCTCCCCACCAAACTGTAGGGCCGTCCTTGATGTGGGTGGTACTTGCAAGGGTATACACGACTCCCTTTGCTGGGATGCCCCTTTCCCTCCTCCACCTGGAAAACTCCTTCAAGACCCAGTTCTAACCATATCCTCATGGGAGTCTCTCCTTGCCCTGGGGTGACTCAGTGTCCTGCAGTGCCGTTATGGCACTCGGCACCCCACAGAGTAGTAGTGAGTACCACACAGAAACACCGAGGACAAAACCAAGAATATTATGTATGTTACACATACACGGCAAGCTCCCTCAGGACAGGGCTGATGGGCGGCTCACTCATTTGTATGCCTGGCGTGGTGCCTGGCCCTCATGAGAACTTGTTGAAAGAATTTGGCTGACCTGTCTTTCCCACCCCAACCAGTGCCTTCTCTGCAGAGTGATTTACACATGAGCCTGGGCGGCTGTTGAATTTTAGTCTTATGAAGCCTTATTTTGTTCTGTTTTCAATTTGTCAATAATGTTAAAACCCAATCCTTTTTTTATTTTTTTAATTAAAGAACTTACTGTCGAGTTTTCAGTCTGGGCAGAAATTGCCTAGAGAGGTTGTCATATTTTTGTCACACTGGATTGGGGCAGCTACCAGGCCTCAGTCCCACCACCCACCATTCCTTTAGCACAGTCTGGGCTGCTCAAGGTGACTTGGCACACCAGGCACCTGGCGGGCACTGTGACCTGCCTTGCTGCTCCAGGGTCTGGGCCCTGAGAGCTGCCTGCTCTGGGTCGGCATCTCTGCAAACGGGAAGGGAAGGCCCTCAGTCCCTATCCTGTATAAAACCAACTCCCTTGAGAAATCTGGTGGCACTGGTGGCACCTTTGGGCAGATTTCTTTGTAGAAATCTCTTTATTGGACTGCATAGTGTCAACAAGGAAAATTCCCCAGTGAATGTCCAAATAGCTATGTTCTGTAGTTCTTAAGGGCATCTTCCTTCCTTTTCCAGCACATCCTCCCAACAGAACACTAGCATTGCAGTTAATTGACTCTCTGGCTTTGGTTAAATACATATATATATATTTTTTTTTTTTTTGAGAGGTTTTTGCTATAGGGCGTGTGTGCTTGCCAGAAAGACAGAGAGCGACAGAGAGACAGAAAGTGAGAAATCACCCCCCCAGGGGGAATGGCCACACCACAATCCCTTCTCCTCCATTCTCCTCTCGGGATCTTGGGCACACACACACACGCGCCAGGCGTGAGTTTAAGTCACCAGGTCCGGGACTCGAACCGCGGTCGACTACATGAGAGTCTCAGTGACATAGTCATTACTATGGTAACTGCTGGTCCCTTGCTAAATATATTAAAAGAGTTTTTTCCATCGTAGGCTGGGCTATATGATTTAAACTGTCAGACCCCTGGAGACCTAAACTCTCCTGGCCTCTTTTATGAGACTAGAGACAGCTAAGGACCCACCTCTGTCATAACTACGTGACATGCCACTTATAAAAACAGCCTATACTTGCAAACAACACATTGAAGGAGAAGGATCGTATTCCACAATCAAACAGAATTACAAAAGGGCTAGAAAATACTAGACTGTTGTTCCAGGAACCCCACGATGTGTAAATGAAGAGGCTGTTCTTCCTGCTGGATGCTTCTGTGCTTACACTTGAGGCTTCAGAAGACCTCAAAAGCAGGTACCCAGCATCCTCGGCCCAGCAAGATGCCCATGGAAGATGCAGCTCCCGAGCCAGCCAGAACAGGTAGCCAGGCCCTTGGGGCGTGCAGCTCGCCGACCTCCCCCAGGTGTCTGTACCTTCCTGGACCAGGCGTGTGGCCACCAGTTCTGTATCTGTGCGATTCCCTTCTGTGTGTCGTACTGTCCTGTCTGCCTCCCTGACTCGCACCTGAGACTTGGACAGCAGGTTTGCCCGTGTCTGCATAGCGCGCACCCTCATACTGGCCAGCTCTCATTCGGTAGCCCTTCCGGGCCCCCTCTGTGAACCTGCCTGCTTCTCCTGCTGTCCCGTTGTTCTTCGGTAGGAACTGCCTGTCCTATTCTCTGTTCAGAAACAAACCATTTCTTGGTTTAAACAGGAAACACATTTCTTTGGCCCTGGCCTTCCCTGCACCATCTTTGAGGCCTGTTTCCACAACACCCCAGCAGCTGGGCTCTGCTGTGAAACAGGCTGAGGCTTTTCTCTCTGGGTTCTAGTCCCCGGCTGTCCTGATGGCTCTGCTGTACCCTGAAAGTCTCACTGACTATCTCTCCTTTGGGTGAGCTGGGACTGTGGCATCGGCCTCCAATGGGGCCCAAGCTCTGTGCGCTTCATCGTCTCTGCAGAGAATCTCCACTTCCTCGATGGTGGGTGTCATCTCGATCGGCAGGGATGCATTCCAGCACCTTCCTGCCTGGGCTTCTACTCCATCTGGTGGAACTAGTAGGTGACACCATTGCCAGCATGTCCTCCTTAGGCTCTTTGCTTGCTCAGTCAAGCCGCCTCGTTTGTGCTGCATCAGTCTTGGCTGAAAAGCATCGGTCCCAGTCTCTGGGACTTGCCTTGTCTTCACGGCTGTTTGGTCTCATTCCCTTGCCCAAGGATAGGCAATATATGCCCTGCAATTGATTGGGGAGCAAAGAGCCCAGCTTGGAGCACAGGGTTAAATCCTGCTGTTGTTTATGGGCCCATCACAGTCGAGAGCACAGCACAGTGAATGGGGCAAGCCGGTGTGGCTCTTAGGGTGTTTGAGGTGACTGTGAAACATGACCTTAGAAAGTGTGCAGTCTGGGCGGCTGAGCCAGTGGTCAGGCTTACTGGTAACCGTCTCTATGTGGTGAGCACTGGCTTAGCACGGCAAGGATCTGGGGCTTCGGGAACAAAGAACGAAAGTGTATTTCATCAAAGGGCTTGGAAAGGAAACCTTGACTAGGTGGTTCTTCCTTTTTTTTTTTCTTTTTAAATATCCTAAGGAATAAGGCTTCTAGGTACCTTAAAAAAGACCAACTCCAATAACAAGTTACACAGTGCAGAGGCCACAGGCTACACAGGCAACAGAGCGAAGGCTGTACAAATGCTTGAGGTAGAGACTCACGTCCTGAGCTCCTCCTCAAGCTGCAGATGGGTCCTTGTGCTCAGGTTATGAGAAGAGGTCTGGGCAGGGCATCTGGCCAGGGGAGCCATTCTCTGCCACGTGGGAGGGGTGAGCTGCTGCTGGTGGTAGGCAAGAGGAGGGAGACAGTCACCCTGTCCTTGTCCTTCCCTGCTCTGCTCACCCTCACAGCAGCCCAGGGATTCGCAGAGTAGCCTTGAACCAGGGAGGCTTTGCAGACTCAATGTGAGACTGTGGAAGAGGATGGTAGGGGACTGACTCAGGGCTGATGGCTCCCACGGAATTAGCCCCACATAAGCCAGAAGAAGGAGGTGGGCAAAACTTCACCTGCAGCCTCAGTTCTGACTCCCCCAGGTGTCAAGTGCCCCAAGAATGTGTCCCTGGCCCTCTGCTGGCATCTCATACCTGGCCAGGACTCTCTCAGGGTCTTGATGGCTACAGTGGGCACAGCTCATCTGTGTGTCAGGCGGGGTAGGCACTATCTGTACAAGTGGCTTCAAAAGTGAACTAGAACAAACACCCGTACACACATACACACACACAATGCTAGAAGCTTCTCTTGAGATCAGAAAAGCACTAGACAAGAGGGTGTGTATGAACAGAAACTTCAGATGGAGGGACTGATTAGAGAAATAGGGAATGGTTGCAAGAACTTGGGAGCAGAGGTGGAAGTGACCAGGGGAGACATTAGGACTCGGCCCTTCTGCTCACTCATGCATGACCCACTTCCAGGGAGGTCTGTGGTAGACCAGCTGTGAGATTTCACCTTAGCTAGCTGGGCACTAGTTCAGCCCCACTGAGGACTCATAAGTTACCCCACTTGTCCTCTGTAACAACTCACTGGAAGAGCCATTGCCATAATCCCTGGGTCCCATGCACTGGGTTGTCAGGAAAGTCATGATGTTATTTTTTCTATGGTTTTCTATGCAAAAATGCATCATGACTTTTCCAATGACCCAACAGCAAAGAAGGCAGGCAGGTTTGGCGGCAGATTTGTCCAATAGGGCCAAAGCAAAAATAGGGCCAAGCCATGATGTTAGACGGTGGGGGTCTGGTAGGAGATTCTGTGTGGAGGAAGAAGGGCAGGTACCAGAAATGTAGACCATCACCTGCCCAAGTGGGCTCTGATCCCTGCCCTTCTTCACCTTCCCTCTTTGGCCAGGCTGTAGCAAAAAAAACAAAATCTTGGCCTATCAAAGAGACTGCTCTGCTAAAGGGCATCATTAGGAAGGATCCCAGTATAAACACCTGAGCCAAGGGGAGCCCCCCCCAGCAGGTGTGCATAAACCCTATACCACCAGTCAAACGAGAGGTAGGGCTTCTCTAGACACACTGGCCAGCTCCAGTGTGGGCTGACTCTAGATTAATTACCAATCTTTTCCTCTCTCCTTTGAAGTGCAAACCCCCACCACCACAGGACCGAGTCTGGGTATGTGGCCGGCCGCTGGTTGTGCATGCTACAGCTGGGTGATCACTGTGATCCTCCGTGTGATCTGGGCCTGTGATTCTTCCAGCCCATCCTCTCTCCTTCTCCGTGCTGTCACTCTGACTTGAAGGACCCACTCCTTGTATGGGTCCTTCAAGTCACTCTATACTTCAAAGATGAACCGCCAATCAAATGTTCCTCCAATGAAAGACCTAATCACTCTACAGCATGCGTACCTTCCAAGAACCCACCTCAGCCCTTCTGTTGATCAGGGCGGAAGGCCTTTCTCTGGAAACATGCCCGACCCCAGTGTGGGCAGCTTTGGCAATGAGCTGTTTGTTTGGGACTGCTTAAGACGGTGCAATAGAACTTGGGGGCAAAATGATAAAGGGGCAACCCAATGGGTCTTAAATCCAGCAAGTTCTTATTCTGCAACCCAGGCTTTCTCAAAGAATGGCTCATGGACCACATGCAAGTGTCAGCTGGAGGCGTTTGGTAAAACGCAGATTCCTGGGCTCCATGCCACACAGATGAGTCGATGAGGGTGGGCTCAAATTAAAATCTGCATTTTAACAAGCTCTTCAGCTGATTCTGTGCACGCTTGGGAACCCCTGCTGGAAAATCACTACAATTTGCAAACAGCCCCCTCTAAGTACTCCAGCCAATTCTACTAGGCTGAGTCCAGAATCTGAGAACAGAGATGAGGGAAATTGTGCTTCTGTGGCTGATTCTGCAGCGGGGCCCCGATTGCCCCCACGTGCCATGGGTTGAAATGACGGAGGGAGGAATGTGATGTGTGTTTCCTGCTCTCCACCAGGCATCATCCTTTCGGTGGCCCTGGCTGGCGTTCTCGGTGTCTGTATAGTCCTGGCAGTATCCATTTGGCTCTTCAGAAGGAAGAAGAGGTGAGCTGGTTTGGGGGAAATGGAATGAGTGGTTTATGTGTCCATGGCGGTTGGTCTGTCTGGGAAGCAGTCTTGTAGGAGAAAGGGCCCTGGGCCCTGGTTGCCTGGACCGACACTTGTCCTAGGCATGATGTTCCCAGAACACCAGTGCCCCAGGCCTCCCTCACATGGGACACTGGTGGTTCAAGGGTCCCCAGGCTTAGAGCTGGAGGTCTGTGTGCCAGCCTTACCGCCACTGCTAATGAGCTGTGTGACCTCGGGCAAGCCTCTGGATTTGGGGCTGGTGCCTAAACACCAGCAGCATAGCCATAGTCTTAAGATCTTCACATCTAGTTTTTCTTCTAGGAATTTAAAAAGAAAATGGAGGGAAACCTGATCTCGCACCTAGATTAGCTACTAGTGCCTTTTGCCATTGGTTTGATTGTCACATTCCCCCCCCACCCCCCGCAAAGGTTTGAGCTACTAGTGCCTTTTGCCATTGGTTTGATTGTCACATTCCCCCCGCCCCCAAAGGTTTGAAGGGGGGGGGTGTGTGATAATGAGATCGTCTTCAAAACATAGGTCAAGGATCATCAGGTGTTAGAAGAGATGGCAAGTAAGCAGGTTCTGTTTCGTTCGGAGGCGTTCCTTCCCTGCCTCCTGAGCTTGCTCATTCCGTAGCTGAGGCAGGCTGCTCGCGCCTCTCTCTCCTCTTTGACTAACAAGACTTGTGTGTTCTTGGCATTCTAGCAGCAAAAAAGGTGACAAGGGAGTCATTTACAAACCAGCCATCAAGAAGGAGACTGAAGCCCATGCCTGAGCTTCCGGGCCTCCGGGGCACGTCCAAGGAC